CAAAAATTCAATCAAATTCATATACACCAAAAAGGAACAATACGAAAAGGAAATTAAGAAAACAATTCCATTTCAATGGTATCGAAAAGAATACTCAGGAATAAACTTAGCCAAGAAGTCAAAAGACTGTATACTGAAAATTACAAAACAATTCTGGAAAAAATTAAAGAAGGTGTAAATAAATGGAAAGATATCCACAGGAAACTTCTCCAGGCAGCCTTGAACCAACCCAGTTCTTCCACTATTCTCACTTGTAGTTCTCAAGAATAACTGTAGAATGTACTGGGATGAAACACACGAATAGAGGAGGAAGTGACTGGAATAGTACAGGCCCTGTTCCAGCCTCCTCTAGAAACAGGATGTCCTTCAATGGTTTAGCCTGGCAAATTCTATTACCCTTAGAGTGTAAAGCCAGAGATGAACTACTCTCCTGGGCCTCTCAGCTGCGGTACAAATGGATTATGTTCTGACAAGATTCCATCTTACCCTAGGCGGCTTTCCTGAGCCTTGGAGGCTGGGTTGTAATGAATCCTAGGCTTCTGTTGTCCCTTCCTGCCTATTTGTAAGTAATAATAAGCCTGCCTCATGTAACTTGTTATGTGTATGAGTGTTCTGTCTCATTGGACTCAGACAAGTTTGTTACAAGTGCATAGTGAATTTGCTTCACAATATCAGTATTTATGGATTGGCCAACAATATTTTTGAGGTGTCAATAATACCCAAAGTGATCTATAGATTCAGCACAATCCCTATCAAAATCTCAATGATGTTTGTGGCAGAAATAGAAAAATTCATCCTAAAATTCATGTAAAATCTCAAGGTACTCTGAATAGTCAAAACAGTCTTCAAAAAGAACAAAGTTGAAGGCATCACATTTCCTGATTCAAAACTTACAAAGCTACAGTAATCAAAACAAGGTGGTACTGGCATCATGACAGACATATAGAACAAAGGAAAAGAAGAGAGAGTTGAGGAATAAGCTCTCACACAGATGGGCAAATGATTTCCAACAAGGGTGCCAAGACCATTTAATGGGATAAGGGCAATCTTTCAACAAATGATATTGGGAAAACTAGATACTCACATGTGAAATAATGAAGTTGAACCCTTACCCCTATATAAAATTAAAATATAACACCATATAAAACAAACTAACTAAATATAAGAGCTACAATGGTAAAATTTCAAAGAAAACAGGGGAAAGTTTCATGACATTAGATTTGGCTATGATATATATATTTTTGGATTGCACCAAAAGCACAGGCAACGACGACAAAACATAGATAAATTGTATTTCATAAAAATTTTTGTCTATCAGAGAAAACTATCAGCAGATTTTTTTTTCCTGTGGAATGAGAAAAAAATATTTACAACTCATAGCTGATAAAGAGTTAATCTCTAGAATATATAAAGAACTCTTACAAATCTACAACAAAATCCCAAGCAACCCAGTTGAAAAATAGACAGGATTTTAGACATTTCTCCAAAGAAGACATACAGATGGCCAATAAGCACATGAAAAGATGCTCAACAACAATAATGATTAAGTAAATGCAGATCAAAATGACAATGAGATACCACTTCATACCCTTTAAGGTAGCTCTTATCAAAACAAAATGAAACAAACAAACAAAAACCCAGAATATACCAAGCGTGGGTAAGGAAGTGGGAAAATTAGAACACTTGCACATTACTGGTGGGAATGTAAAATGGTGCAGCCACTTTGGAAAATAAACAATTAAAAATGGAATGTTGATATGTTTAATATGATAGTTCTTTAAAAATTAAACATGAAATTGTAACATGATGCAGCAATCCCACTGTGGGTATGCACTCAAAAGAAATCAAAGCAGGAATTAGAACACATATTCTCACACAAATGTTCCTAGCTGCACTATTTACAACAGCCAAAAAGTGGAAACAACCCAAATATCTATTGATGGATGAGTGGATAAGCAGATGTGGTATTATATACAATGGAATATTATATAACTTTAAAAAGGAATGAAATCCTGACACATACTACAATGTGGATGAACTTGGAGGACATTATGCTGAATGAAATAAGCCAGATGCAAAAGGACAATTTTGTATGTATATAATTCCATTTACATGTGGTATCTGGAGTAGTCAAACCATACAGACAGAAAATGGGTGGTGGCCAGGAGTTGGAGGGAAGGAGGAATGAGGAGTTATTGTTTAATGACTACAGTGTTTCAGTTTGGGGAGTCCAGAAAGTTCTGGAAATGGATGATGGTGGTGGCTGCACAACAATGCAAATATACTTGATGCTACTGAACCATACATCTACAAATGATTAAAATGGCAAATTTCATGTTCTGTATAATTTACCACAACTTTAAACCTGCTCCTCCTGCCCCCGCCAGCAATTTGCTCCATATACCTTCAAAATAGCTGGAGGTATCTTCTGATCACAAGTAGAGCTTAAAATACTCCCTTAACACAGCATTTTATCAATAATTAATTTAGTACGTTTTTCTCATAATAGTACTGTTTGAAGCTGCAAAATAAAGCACCCTCATTACCTTCTGGACAAAGTTTTTGTTAATGATTGCTCTGTTTCTATCACCTGTCAGAGCTTCCATTAATGGCTCCTTTATTTCAAAAGTCCAGATAATACCACGGAAGCAGGCTACTGGTGTCACTCAGTTCCTTCCGTTTAGAATTTTTTTCTGAAGAAAATAAAAATTTTCAACAAACCACTGTCTCACATTAGGAAAAACTGTCACCAGCAGTGGAGCAAGGGATTGTGAAACTTAAAAACATAAAAAAAGAAGTTGTGCAATTTGAATTTTGCATCAAGATGGCTTTCATACTTAAAAAAAAATTCTGGTGGCATTCTAAATTTGTCAGTTTTAAGAATCCTATTGGAATAGTTTTTATCATTCATCACGCATGCGTGTCATATAATTCTGACAACTCATTTAAGAACATGTTTCCATTCCAATACAAAGAAGTGCCTAGTATTGGCTATTTTCTCACTGTGTTTACGTTTTTTTCTTTAAGTTATTTCCTCCCTTTCTTCTTTGCTCCCTCCATCCCTTTTTACTGCCTGCCTGCAATTTTCTTTCTTTAAAAAATAAGATAGGCATAGTTTGCACAGCAAAAGATTACATTTAACCAAATAAAGTGTTTTAGGACATTATAATAACGGAATTTTAAAGTGGAGTAGATTATCATTTTTAAAAGATTATCATTTTTTCTATATAATTACTGTACTATGCATTTTACTCTACAAATACTGTATCAAAACATTCAATGAACTGTTAAGACAGAAATTATGTTGCCAAGCTCTGAAAATATGAAATGTAACTTATTTTAAAATGACATTTAATTTTGTTTTAAAGATTGTACATGACCCATACAAGTGTATTTGTTATTTAAAAAAGTAATAGAAATTATAATTAACTCTTTAAAATATATCAGCCTCTCTGTAATTTTTTAAAGTTTTACTTTAAGTTCTGGGATACACGTGCAGAACGTGCAGGTTTGTTACATAGGTATACACATGCCATGGTGGTTTCCTGCACCCATCAACCTGTCATTTACATTAGGTATTTCTCCCAATGCTATCCCTGCCCTAGCCCCTCAACCACCAACAGGACCCGGTGTGTGATGTTTACCTCCCTGTGTCCATGTGTTCTGACTGTTCAACTCCCACTTATGAGTGAGAACATGCAGTGTTTGGTTTTCTGATCTGGAGAAATAGAAATGCTTTTACACTGTTGGCGGGAGTGTAAATTAGTTCAACCATTGTGGAAGACAGTATGGCGATTCTCAAGGATCTAGAATCGGAAATACCATTTGACCCAGCAATCCCACTACTGGGTATATACCCAAAGGATTATTAATCATTCTACTATAAAGACACATGCACACGTATGTTTATTGCGGCACTGTTCACAATAGCAAAGTCTTGGAACTAACCCAAATGCCCATCAATGATAGACTGGATAAAGAAAATGTGGCACATATACACCATGGAATACTATGCAGCCATAAAAAAGAATGAGTTTATGACCTTTGCAGGGACATGGATGAAACTGGAAACCATCATTCTCAGCAAAATATTTTTGGGTTTTTTGGCCTTAAAAACATTATTTTTTCTTTTTCTCCAAGGTTCTTTGTTTATTTGAGAGAATTGTGTTTAGCCATAAGATTGGCTATAAAATTTTAATTTTAATGTATACTCCAAAGGAGTATTTTACTATTTATAAATTTAAAGAGTCAGTTAAGGACTTTAATTTTACCCATTGAAAATAATATGCCTTTTAATTATCTTCCTAGGAGAGAAAATGAAATAGTGCTTAAAATTAAATGTACAATTTGAAGAAAATAGATTTTATATTAATCTCCAAACCTCCATGTGTTACCACCAGGATTATTTAAATAATAAATTTATGAAGTTTTCAACTAATACCATCCTTGGTTTGATTCTGATGTTAGTGTCCATCATTTATAAAAATGCTATTCATGTTGTCTTTACGAATGAAGCAAAAATTCCTTGAGCTTCTCTGGAAAGTTAGCATGAGTTGGTCGTTTTCTGTTTCTGCAATTGTGTATATATAGCATATGGGATTCTTTATTTGAAACTGCATTTAGAATAAAAAAAATTAATTAACATTGAATTCTTTCCAAACCTTACTAGGTTTTTTTAAAAATCACAGTTGATTACATTGGCTCAATTGTAATTGCATCTTTTTTTACTCCAATGTACAAGAACTTTCTGTTCTCCTACTGTTTACAATAGTAATGCCACAGGAGTAAAGATTGCAGGTACATCATGCCTGTTTCTGTTGTCGCCGCCTATTTGGCTGGGGAGATAGGGAGAAACAGTTGATGGTTCTGAAACCTCTCCTGAGACCATGTGAGGTAAAAAGGTATGGCTTTGCACATCCTGGGACTAGGAAGAGTTTTATCTTTTCCTAATCTCTTCTATCTCAGGCTGCTTTTGGAAAAATTTTTCTTAGAGTATAAACATGGGGCAGACTAATGTGGTAACACATAAAATTGTCTGGGAGACACTTTAGTTTAAGAACATTCAAGTAATAGACAATCATTCTGCCCCTTTGTAGACCATTCTATTTGTAGACCAAAAAAAAAAAAAAAAGTCCAAGTAAAAAATCTCCTGCCCTACAAATGTTAACTTTCCTCTTTTATTTTCTGAAATCTCTGAGGATGGTGCGAGAATGCTTTCTGATGGGGCAGGTTAGCTCTGAGTTTTAGAATGATACTCAGATGAAGCTAAATTCTATGAGTTCTTGTTACCTTTTACTCTTCCTGTGACACAGGAGGCATATTCAACACAGTCATCTTATAAATGTGGTGTTATAGCATTTACACAGGAAGATTATCAGAAAAATTATTTAAAGTTTCTGTCCCATATGAGGAAGATGAGTATGACATTTTTGAACACATATGCATACAGATTTGAAATCCACAGGAGAAAAGCAAATGTCAGTTCGTTTTATTACTGACCCTTCTTGTCATTTCATGTAAGTAATTTCTCTAATTTGTGCCTCAATTTTCTCTCCTGACAAATCATGATAATTATATAAAGAGGTAAGCCTTCTTAAGTTAACACTCTTAAGATATCAATTTGGGAATTTACCAGTTTTGAAAAACTTGGACAAGTTAGATAACTTTTTTGAGTTTTATCATTTTTTAAGCTGAAAATACTTACATTATAAAAATAAAAAAATTTGGGAGATGTTCTATTGTGATTGTCATAAAATAAGTTGTCAGGGGATGGTAATTTTCATTATTTTTCCCATTACACATTTTTAGTGGTCTCAAGAAAACACATGAGGCTATAATATATATTAATCTACTTGGAGAACCAGAATTAATATTGGACTGATGTATCAATAATGAAAACTGAGATGTATTTAAATTAATTTAGTTATATATAGATGTCATGACTACTCTTATTGAAAACAAACAACTAAACCAAAAATTGATCAGCATAGCATTTTTAGCTGTATTGATGTTGAAAGAATACAAACAAGAAAACCAAATCATGTGAAAAGGCGAGTTAGCTCAGCAACTGAGTGTATATTAGTATGGTTTCATTGTATATAGATTCTAAAAGTACTAATCATTAGCTGATCACCACCATTTTCAGTATAAAGACACCTCCTTAATATTAAAAATATTCACCGACTTATATACAATATGGTAGTTTTAGGATTTATTAATTGAGAAAATACACAGTAACAAAAAACAAATGAGGGTTCCGTTTCACTTTTCAGTGAGTTTGCATTTTAATTATTTTGTCATAGGAGTATATGCAAAAGTTGTATATCCAAGTCTGTCTTCACTTAGACTGGGGCTCATTGTTGAACATATCTAAATTCTACAAGTTAGAGGCAAAATGAGGCGAGAACTGTTTTTGTTAATTTTTGTACAAATGTAAACCTATTTTTTCCATAGTGCATACAAAGTCATGGAGGGAGATTTGAGGTTTAAAATGCAATAAATTATCATTCATTTCTTCATTCATTCTTTCAAAAACTTCTCCAGTGAACCTGTGTTATGAGCCAAGGGGCTGGGGATACAAAAGTGAATTAAGACAAAGATGCTATCCTCATGCTATTGCGACTTACAGTTTTGTGGGCAAGAAACACAACAAACAAACATTTTATAACAGAATTTTGCAATAATAGTGACATAAGGGTAAGAGGCAAGAGAGTGAGGGAGTGTGTGAGTGTGTGTATGTGTGTGTATGTTATGTACCTGTGAGAGAGAGAATGTATCAAGGAAAGTCTGAGGAGATTATTAACATTTGAGCAGGCTAACATGCATATATTTGGGGAAAGGTATTTCTGGTAGTGGAAATAACATGTCCTAAAACAGTAAAGAAATTGTCATGTTAGAGCAACACAAAGAGGACAAACTAGGCTACAGAGGGTAACCAAGGAAGAATGTTAGGAGCTGAGGTCAGAGATTTAGGTGGGGTTTCATCATCTAGGACCTTGCAGGGCATGACCACTATCAGACAAGTTTGCCTCAGAGGTAAAAGCAATTATGACAACTCTTGAAAAGTAAGATTTTTGCTGCCTAATATTTTCCCACAAGTTTGGCAAAAATTAATACAGCTTTCTAATGTCTGAATTCATATTTATATCTAGGAAGCTATGTGTTATTCTTTTTTTCATATGCAGTTAGAGAAATGATCTCTTTCTGTTTTTGATGCCCCTTAGAACTTATTATTAATAATTCTGTATTAGTGGTGGGCAGGGAAAATAGCTTCCTATTTTATAAAACTCAGACTTCTGGGGCACTTGAAACTGGAGTTTATCTTTACTTTTGGTTCCAGTTTCTAGAACCTCAAATTTCTTGTTAGTAAGGGGTCCTTTCTTCCACAATCTGAGAAAAAATTAATTAAACATGGGTACTGAGTCATCGTTGTTTATGAAGAATGGAATTATATCTGGGTGAGATGGAAAGGTAGATGGTTAGATTATGACTTTTGTGTAGTGTGAATTTTTACAAAGAACTGCATTCTTTTCCATTTAGAAAAAGAGAAACTTGTAGTTCCTTATCATTTCAACATTTTCCCTTCTCCTCTCTACAGGCACACTTTATCTACTTCTGTGGTTTTAATGTAAAAACCTAAATGTCCTGTTCTGCCATTTCTTTTGAGGCCCAGAGTCTTTTGTCTAATTAACTACTGAATATTCTGCAGACAATTAAAACGTAGGGTATCTAAAATCAAAGTCACCAATTTTCTGTCTCAGACCAGCTTCTTCTGCATATTCCCAGTCATAGCTGATGGCATCCCATTCCACCTATTCTCCCAAGTTAGAATTCTGAATCATCTTTGCTCTGTCTTTTTTCTTTCTCCCTCATCCTCAGGTCACAGCACATTGTTCTACTGTAAGGATATTTCTTAAATAGCACCATTTACTACTGCCTCTTACCTAAACTTGTGCAATACCTTCCTGTCAGTTTCTTCAAATCTGTTCGTCTCCCATTATACTTCCTGGTATGCTTATAAAAATACAGTATGTAAATGACTTTTACTTGTTCCCTACTGTCTGTAAGACATACAAAAATTACTCAGCATGCCATGCAAATCTACTTACAATCTTTTAAGTTTGATATCTGGCCTCATAATCTAAGGTCTGACTGCAACAAAATACTTGTCGTTCTTCAAATATTTGCTCATGCTTTTCCCTCCTATGGTAATGTTACCTTCACTGTCTAAGACACACATAGATCTTTCATTTTCTGGTAAATAAGCTGCCTCACATTGTTCAATATTAAATGTTGATTTCTTTGTGAGTTCTTGCTGTTCTCATGGTTGCTCCTTTTCGTATTTCTAAGAATTATCTCGGCAGACGCGGATTGTAGCGGGTGGCTGCTGCTGTAAGGTGGTTGTGGAAGTTAATAAACGTATCCATAGAGAACACTGAAAACTCAGTGGATTCAAAATCCATTAAAAGTTTGGAACCAAAGATCATACATGGAAGCAAATCAGTGGACTCTGGAATATCCCTGGACAACAGTTATAAAATGGATTATCCTGTGATGGGTTTATGTATAATAATTAATAAGAAGAATTTTCATAAAAGCACTGGAATGACATCTCGGTCTGGTACAGATGTTGATGCAGCAAACCTCAGGGAAACATTCATAAACTTGAAATATGAAGTCAGGAATAAAAACGATCTTACACGTGAAGAAATTGTGGAATTGATGCGCAATGTTTCTAGAGAAGATCACAGCAAAAGGCGCAGTTTTGTTTGTGTGCTTCTGAGCCATAGTGAAGAAAGAATAAGTTTTGGAACAAATGGACCTGTTGACCTGAAAAAAATAACAAGCTTTTTCAGAGGGGATTGTTGTAGAAGTCTAACTGGAAAACCCAAACTTTTCATTATTCAGGCCTGCTGTGGTACAGAACTGGACTGTGGCATTGAGACAGACAGTGGTGTTGAGGATGACATGGCGTGTCATAAAATACCAGTGGAGGCCGACTTCTTGTATGCATACTCCACATCACCTGGTTATTATTCTTGGTGAAATTCAAAGGATGACTCCCGATTCATCCAGTCACTTTGTGCCATGCTGAAACAGTACGCCGACAAGCTTGAATTTATGCACATTCTTACCCGGGTTAACCGAAAGGTGGCAACAGAATTTGAGTCCTTTTCCCCTGATGCTACTTTTCATGCAAAGAAACAGATTCCATGTATTGTTTCCATGCTCACAAAAGAACTGTATTTTTATCACTAAAGAAATGGTTCGTTGGTGGTTGTTTTTAGTTTGTATGCCAGGTGAGAAGACGGTGTATTTGGTACTGTATTTCCCTCTCATTTTGACCTAGTCTCATGCCGCAGCGGGTACTTTGAGTCATACTCCTTCCATCAGGTGGAACCACTGTGAAGCTACCTCAAACTTACAGCCAGGTAGTTGCAATTGAATTAAATTAGGAATAAATAAAAATGGACACTGGTGCAGTCATTATGAGAGGCAATGATTGTTAATTTACAACTTTCATGATTAGCAAGTCACAGTGATGCTGTGCTATGAATTTTCAAGTAATCGTGAAAAAGTTAAACACTGAAGTAATGAATTTTTATGATATTCCCCCCACTTAAGACTGTGTATTCTAGTTTTGTCAAACTATAGAAATGAAGATGTGGAAGAACTTAGGCATCTATGGGCATGGTCAAAGGCTCAAACCTTTTTTTTAGTATTGATATACAAAGATGACCTAACCGCAATTTTGGACCATTTATCTGGGATTATGGTTTTGTGATGTCTGTCCTGAACCCTTTTGTTGTAATAATAATAATAATAATCAATAATCATGTTTAATATTGAGACAGAACACTAAGTATTTTTATGTGAGAGGAAGTGGTGAGCAAACTAACTCTTTTTAAGGCTAAAACCATAACCTTCATAGAGGGGTGGACTTTTAACTGTAAGGTGCTGCAATGCAGCTGATCTACCAGCATAAAATACCTTTTGATTTGTCCCTACGCAGATCGATTGAGGTTCACATACCAGCAATATATCTGAAGAGCTGTTATATAAACACCCAAACTGTTGATTATTAGCCAGGTAATGTGAATAAATCTATAGGAACATATGAAAATACAACTTAAATAATAAAAGTGGAATATAAGGAAAGCAATACATGGATGGGCTGAGCTGCCTCTAATTTGAGAGCAGATGGTTGATCTTGAGCAGAGACATGACTTGGCCTGTTCCGTGAAGGCAGAGCCATGACCATGGTTTCAGGAAGGGCCTGCAGCCCCGCTTCTCCATACACACTGGTGGTGTGTGGACGATGCTGCCAGGGCACCATTCTCAAGGTAAGAAAGTGAAGCAAATCAGAAACTGTGTGAAGTGGAAATGTTCTAAATGTGGTGAATTACAATAAAAATCATAGACTCTTTGTAGCACAATTCTTAAGCATGTTATTTCTGTTGAAGTTTACAATCAAAGAAAAATAGTATGGTTTATACTGTTTACCGAGAAGAAAGACCATGGCATATAGGACTCTAGATGGCATCCAGCCACAGACCAGAGCTGAGCACCCAGCCTGGGAGGCAAGCTCCAGGCCTCAGAAGGTGCTGAGCCGTCACTCACCGAGTCTCACTGGCTTTCAGTCTGACTTTCACGGGAGATTTCTTGTTGCCAAAAATGTCTTCTTTTGAGAAATTCTGTTTCATATCTTTTGCCCACTTTTTGATGGGGTTGCTTGTTTGATGGGTGCTGACGAGTTGATGGGTGCAGCACACCAACATGGCACAAGTATGCATATGTAACAAACCTGCACGTTATGCACATGTACCCTAGAACTTAAAGTATAATAATAATTTTAAAAAAATGAACTTGCATTTGTCAATGACAGTTTGTTTTTTTTCTTACTAGATGTGTAACTTTTCTAAATACACATAGCATGTAATGGTATCTTAAAGTGTGTTCCTGTGTGACAATTTTGTACAAATTTTTTATGTTCCATTTTTATTTCAAAATATACATTCAAACTTAAAATTAAAAAAAAAAGAATTATCTCTTCCCTGTCCCTTTCCCTATCTCACATTTTGTTATTATTAGCTGACAATATGTTCATCTCTTTTATAATACAGGAACAGCCTAAGAGCAGAAGCTATTAATATGTCTATCTCATTTATCTTCATGTCTACAGTACACACCACAGTGTCTACCTTACAGCATGGGTTCAATTAATGTTTAGTGACATTAAAAAAGGAGGAGGAAAAGAAGAAGAAAAATGCAAATAAACCTGGGAGAGAACACAGTGTCTAAAATGTTACTGTGAGTATTTTTGGATCCTTTATTGAGAATATTAGGTTATGTAGTAAAGAAATTTTGTATTTGATCTCTTACAACACAAAAGCCCTAGTAGTCAAATACCAGAGAGAAAGGGTTTTATACACAGTTGTAAAAAGGGCACAGAGAATACTGGTTTGAAAAGTTGTATATAAACAGCTCCTTCTTCATCATATTGCCCAGTAATGATTATTACTTCAAAGGTTAGTCTGGATAATATTGCTTGAAATCAGTTGTGTTCACCTTAGCACATGATCAGAACAGCCTGTGATTATTATGTTAATTCTGAAACCCAAACCCCTCTGTTTAAGTGTGAAGAAACTGAGACACAGAGGAGTTGTGAGGCATGTCTGTGTTTCTTATTATGATATAATTTGATTCTGTGCAAAGCCTAGAGACTTCCAACCCCAATCATCTTTTATATCTCCTTTTAGGGAAGATTGCAAATTCCTAAACCCTTAACATGGGATATATAACAATAAATTTAACACAATTGATTTCATAGGTTAAATTTCCCTCAATTGGGATGCAAAGTTGTACAACTCACTTGGACTAAATCAAGATCTGCAATCTTTTATGAATGTCCATGTGTCCTATTCTTTAATTCTCCTCTAGTCTTCTCCATCATGAAACAGCAATTCCCCGATTCTAGTTGCTCGGTCCAAAAATCTTAAATGTAACCTTGATTTTTCTTTTTCCTTTTACATTCTACATCAGATCCATCTGCAAATCCTGATAAGCCTCCATTCAAGACATATTCAGAATCTTACACTTTCTAATTATTGCACAGCAACTACTTTGTCCTAGGTACTTTCATCTCTTGTCTATAATATTTACCATATTTTCTTGTCTCCTTATTTCAGCTCTTGCCTGAACATAGCCCAATCTTATAATACTAGAATAATCCTATGAAAAGATCAATTATATTATGTCATTCCTCTGTTTAATCCCTCCAATGGCGTCCATTTCACTGTGAAACCAAGCCAAAGTCCTTACAAATGGCCCTCAAGGTTTTACATGATTTGCCTTCCTCCCTCGAGTTCTCTGATCTCCCACTATTTTCCACCTTGCTTACTCTATTCTGGCCACACCAGCCTCCTTGCTTTGAATTGTGGACACTCTCCTACCTGAGTATTTTGCCCTTGCTGTTCTTTCCCTGTAGCTTTCTTCCAAGGAATTCCACGTGGCTCATTGCCTTATCCCCCTTCAGCTTTTTCTTCAAATGTTATCTTTGCAGTGAGGACTTCCCAGGATATACTGCTACTGTAACTTCCTCTCAGACCACAGGTATCCCTTATCTCCCTTACCTGTTCAATTTTTCTCCTTGTGGCTTATTACCATGAATCATGTATTTTCCTGATTTTTTCCTCTTAATTGTCTATCTCCCTCCAACTCCAAAGATAAGAACCACAAGGACAAGGATTTATGTATGTTTTGTTTACTTATAAATTCTTAACATTCACAGTCGAATTCTACCAGAGGTACAAAGAGGAGCTGGTACCATTCCTTTTGAAACTATTTCAATCAACAGAAAAAGAGGGAATCCTCCCTAACTCATTTTATTAGGCTAGCATCATCCTGATACCAAAGCCTGGTAGAGACACAACAACAACAAAAAAGAGAATTTTAGGCCAATATCCCTGATGAATATCAGTGCAAAAATCCTCAATAAAATACTGGCAAACTGAATCCAGCACCATATCAAAAAGCTTATCCACCACGATCAAGTTTGTTTCATCCCTGGGATGCAAGGCTGGTTTAACATACTCAAATTAATAAATGTAATCCATGACATAAACAGAACCAAAGACAAAAACCACATGATTATCTCAATAGATGCAGAAAAGGCCTTCAACAAAATTCAACAGCTTTTCATGTTAAAAACTCTCAATAAACTAGGTATTGATGGAATGTATCTCAAAATAGTAAGAGCTATTTATGACAAACCCACAGCCAATATCATACTGAATGGGCAAAAACTGGAAGCATTCCCTTTGAGAACTGGCACAAGACAGGATGCCCTCTCTCACCACTCCTATTCACATAGGTTGGAAGTTCTGCTGAGCATCAGGGCAAAGAGAATGAAAATAAAGGGATTATTCAATTAGTAAAAGAAGAAGTCAAATTGTCCCTGTTTTGCAGTATGACATGATTTTATATTTAGAAAAACCATCATCTCAGCCCAAAATCTCCTTAACCTGATTAAGCAACTTCAGCAAAAGTCTCAGGATGCAAAATCAATGGGCAAAAATCACAAACATTCCTTACATCAATAATATATAAACAGAGAGCCAAATCATGAGTGAACTCCCATTCACCAATTGCTTTCAAAGAGAATAAATACCTAGGAATCCACTTTACAAGGGATGTGAGTGTGGAAGGAACCTCTTCAAGGAGAACTACAACCACTGCTCCACAAAATAAAAGAAGAACAAACAATGGGGAAGAACATTCCATGCTCTGGATAGAAGAATCAATATCGTGAAAATGGCCATACTGCCCAAGGTAATTTATAGATTCCAGAATGCAATCCCCATCAAAGCTACCACTGACTTTCTTCACAGAATTGGAAAAACTACTTTGAAGTTCATATGGAACCAAAAAAGAGCCCACATTGCCAAGACAATCCTAAGCAAAATGAACAAAGTTGGAGGCATCATGCTATCTGACTTCAAACTATACCACAAGGCTATAGTAACCAAAACAGCATGGTACTGGTACCAAAACAAATATATAGACCAATGGAATAGAACAGAGCCCTCAGAAATAACACCACATATCTACAACCATCAGATCTTTGACAAACCTGACAAAAACAAGAAATGGGGAAAGGATTCCCTATTTAATAAATGGTGTTGGGAAAACCAGCTAGCTATATATAGAATGCTGAAACTGGATCCCTGTCTTACACCATATAGAAAAATTAACTCAAGTGGA